AATGTGAAACAACACAATTTGATATAATCACCACCCGCCAATTAATGCATGGCTTTTTGTTAGCCATGCCCATGTCCCGAGGTTTGACCAGGAGATTGCTCACACGGTGGCTAAAGGAGAGATTGAGAATTTGAATTTCGTTTAGGTTGCGTGATTTAATTTAATTTTTTAATTTGCCTTTTTTTTTTTTTAATATAAAAATTTTAATTTTATGCAACTGAATATACTTAACGATGCGGCATAAAAAAATTACTCAACATATAATATAATAAGATGAGTGTTTTTTTGTTAAATAATAAGATGAGTTTTGTTATTACATTCCTGGCAAAATTTACCACAAAAAAAAAGGCATTTTTTTTTTCTTTTTTCTTTTTTAACAAAATTTCTTAATCACTAAATCATCCTCCTCACTTTAATTCCAAGTAAATGTTGTCACTTAGATGGATTTTCTTTCTTTTTTTTTTCACTCTTACCAATTAAAAGATAATTCTTCTACTTAATTTAAGAACATTTTATTACAATTTCATTTCATAGTTTCTATCTTCCTTTTTATTTCATACTTACTTTCTATCTCAAACTTCTCTTCCTCATCTTGTTACTTCACTTGCAAAATTAACATTAATCATGAATCTGATTGTAACGAAACTGTTGTATTGACAATTTGATGTAGATTTTAGTTATTGACATGATCAATTCACATAATCCTAAAAAAAAATAACATAAAAGGCACTAACAAAACACACCGAAACTTACTAAAAAAGATTAAACTGAATCGTGCTATAATTATCGAGAATTGATAACTAATGAGACTCAGGCACATGAGTGTGAGATTCACTACAACAGCTCACAGTCCACCTCTCTCAATATTCTATGCAGAATTTTTCTTTAAAATTTCTTTGATCTGAAAATATTTTTTTTTTTTTCCATTGTCATCATAAAAACTTTAATTAATTATGGTTTATGAAGGTAAGTTACGAACTGTATTTGTATGTGAATTATTAAAATTTAGATAAAAAAAATTTAAAATAAAAGAGACTACCCTTTTATCAAAAGAAGATAATGAACCACACGACATTGAATCCTATTTTTAATTCACAACCAATTTCATGCCTTAATTGTTTTATTTTGTCTCCCAACACATTTGATACACGTGATGATATAGAAACTATCACGTAGTGACATGGTTTCTACATTTTTATATTTGTTTTTTTGTTTTTGTTTTTTTAATTGGGAGGGTGGGGAATTTTTTGTGACTTATCCGCAGATGTTTTATTTTTATTTTTTATGTTAATTTAATAGTTAACCCGTGATCCATGCAAGATTTTTTTTATAATTTTTTATTTTTTATTTTTTATTTCCTATGGTAGGTCACGAGTCTCATGACTCATGCATGATAAGTTAAATACGTATGAACTTTTTCAATTATTTATTGATTTATTATTTTTTCATGGCCGAGGCCTGGATCATCGTTTTACAGTCGTATTGGATATACAATTATAATTTGGTGATCAGGACCAAGCTAGAAATTTTCAGATAGGACAGACATTGTACATTATAGTATATATTTATTAATAATAGATATGCATATAAATAAGTGTTTATGAGGTATTTATATAGAGAGATAAGTGGATGCATAGAGATATATATTTTTTAGATAAGATAAATTAATAAATTTATATATATAAAATATAATGAAATAATTTAAGAAAAAAAATTAAAGAAACACTATATAAAAATCTCTAACTGCTTCCTCACACGAGCGTAATCGAAGAGGCCGATCCAATACTGAAATGTTATAACCGATCGCAGCTCTTTCATACCTTTACTTAACTGGTGTTTTGACAAGTTCATATGGATTGGGTTGGAAGCCTAATTGAGATGGGTGGCTAGGGCAAGTCCCTATAATTTGGGGGAAAATGTGGTGGCCTGGTGGTTTTGGGCCTTTTTTTTTTTTTTTTGGTGTGATGTCTAGGTTTGCCATGGTTATTTTTAATTTTTTTTCTACTATTGTAGTGGTGGTGGTGGTACTATTGTCTGGGTATAATTGTGGTAGTTAATTATGGTGATGTCTAGGTTATTGGGTGTTTCAATTTATTTATTTAAAATTTTTTTTTTCTATTGTGGTAGTGGTGTTATTTCGGTGCGGTGTGGGTGGCAGCGTGGGTTATGAACTTCTGGTATAGTGGCGATGGTGATATAAATTAGTATTAAAGATAGAAAGATTAGTACAATTACCCAAATAATGGGCCAATTAGTAATGGGCCAATTAGTTAGAAAGGCCATTCAAGTTATTACAAGATTAGAAAGTTATTGTTGACTTTTCAAAGGGTATTTAAGTCTTTTTGTAGGTTGGGAGGGGGTATGGATGCAAGATTTTACGTTGACCGAATGACATTGACTAGAAGTGTCAATGCAATTAATCCTTTATTTTTTTTATAATATATTCTTAATTTTTATAATATTATTTATTTCAACAAATATAGAGAAAGATAACATGCAACAACAAAAATTCTCGTGTTTCAAATCATTTAGCATTCTATATAAACTAAATTACTCTTTTCGTATTAGATCCTTTTTTTTATTTTATTATTAAGCTATTCTTTTGTGTTTATTTTCCAATCTCTCTATACCTATTTAAATGTCCATTCGTTTTATATATGTATTTATGACTATCAATATTTGATTATTTTTATTTATTTATTTTTTTTTCTTCCATGTAAGTACTTTATATTCATTGTCTTTGATTTTTTTTTTTTCCTTTACCCTTTTTTTTTTTTTTTTTTTGAATCTCTTATGGAAGCATGATATTGGAGCTAATAACTACATGAAGGTTTGGTTTATTTATTTATTTGGTTTGATTTCTATGTATGTACTTTATGTTCATTTTGTTTGATACAATTTTTTTTTTTTTTGTATTCCTTTTTTCCACCAATGTCGGAGTTATATATGGTAGCGTGATATTGAAGCCAATAACCAAATAAAATATAGTAGTAAATAACACTCTATTTTTGTTGCGGGTTTTTTTTTTTTTTTAATAAACTTATTATAAATATTTCTTTTGTTGGATAAAATTTTTGTCATTGATTTTTAATTTTACTTTCTTTACTAATTTCTCCCTCTATATATTTATATATGTATTTAAACGCCCATTCAATTTATATATGTATTTATTTATTGAATATTGGAGTCTTAGTTTTTTTTTTTTCCTTCAAATTTCTATGTATACTCTATGTTCCTTGTGTTTGATACTGTAATTTTTTTCCTTCATTCCTTTTTTCCAAACTCAAGAGTGTTGTCAAAGCGTGATATTGAAGCTAATAATAAAAACATGCATGTTCATAATTCACTTTCTCTATAAATTTTGTCACTTTTCTGCACTTTTAGTAACTAATTGATAGCCATGCATGATCTCATGTAGAATGGCAAAAAAAGGTAAAATCATGAGTTAAATTGGTTTTTTATTACGTGTTCAATGGATGCTTCCATTCAGTGCTGCGTCAAAAAAAAAAAAAAAAATAGATGCAGCACATCGGCCCATTTTGTTTAGGGTACAAAATTGACCATCGAAAATTTAAGTCCCTAAAGTGAAGCAACAACAAAAATAAAAAAATAAAAAAGGATTATTTCCATTCTTATATTATATAAAATCAAAGTGTTATTTCTTATTAAACTTTCTTCTTTTTTTTTTTTCTTTTTTTTTTTTTTCATTGAAATAAATAAAAAAAGAAAACACATGAGTGTGTGAGTTTCTTGTCAAAAAAAATAAAAATAAAATAAAAATTGAAAGAAATTTAACACAGTATAAAATGTATTCCACATATTATGAAACACAAATTAACCCATTATTCATTTGAATTTTGAAAATATATATATATATATATATATATATATATATATATATATATCAGTTATTTATATATATGAAACACAAATTAACCCACTGTTGGTGCAAATATTGGTCTTCCATATATATATATATTTTTAAGATTTATGGAACTTTTGAAAAGTTGTAGTTATCCGTTTTTTTGCACAAAAGTCCCAAGCTACTTGACAAATTCTTGCTCAATTATTGAGTAAGTTTAATATAATCAATCTATTTATGTGCTATATATATATATATATATATTTTTAATTGACAATAGTTTTATTTATTGTATTGCATTAGATGTAAACATCTTGGAGTTTGTTCTTTGAAAGCTTTGTGCAAAATTATTGCACTTATTAAAATACAAGAAAATAAATGCATGCCTAACGCAAACTCTTATTACAATAAATTATACCAATAATGTGATTCCATTAAAGCCATTGACACAAACTCATAGTTTATATTGTATACTCATAGATTTGCAAACAAAGTAAACAAATCAAGTATAAACTATTTATTCTCAAAGGTCACAACTCAATTATTAACTCTTTTTTCTTCTATGATTTGGGTAAAACTGTTCGATTCACAAAAAATCTCCTTTTGATTTTAGATTATAATTGTTTAATTTTCAGCTAATCCGATTGTTATAGCTTTTATGTGTGTGTATATATATATTATTAAATGCTTTTATTTGAGGTAGATGTGTGGCAAGCAATTAAAAAATATATATATTTTTATGAGATGGTATGGAATTTATTAGTATGGTTTAATTATATGTGTGAATATTTGCTTAAGTTTGAGTATTTTAAATGAGAGTTACACTTCAGTTGCTCTAATATTTTCTTTTAGAATATTGTTTGTTTGCAAATAATAATGTGTAAGAAGATTTATTTCGGGACAATAATCCTCTTCAGAAAAGGAGAGGTTCTGCACACCTACGAATTATTGGATTGGATTCTCCCACTTATAATAATACCATATCAATAATTGGTGGGTGTATAATAGCTTTCCTTTTCTTACTATGCACTAGAATGCATTGGTATTAGTTATTAATTAATTATTAATATATATATTTCAATTTAAATTATGAATTTACCAGATTTGTCAACGTGCACCAAGTAGGAAACACTATATAACAAAGTTACAAAGCCCTAGCTTTCTTTGTGCAGAGTTGGCAGACGACTCTCTTCGCGAAAGCCCTAGCTCCTTGCCTCCGACAACTGGACATCGCAAAAGCCTTGGATAGCTCCTTGCCTCCTCCTTACAGCTTTTCTGAAGTCTAAACAAGGTGTGCTCCTAACTTCCTATGTTTGATTGTTTGAACTTTTCTGTTCTGGACTTTGAAATTTTTCTCTGTTTTTTTTTTGGGAATCTGTTAATCTGAAAGTTTAATTTGACTTCTCATCGTGCCCTGATTTGGAACGCAATCCTTTGGTACTACCCACAATATCACAAGTGTCTGTAATCTGTATACCAATCTGACTGACTATAAGTATAATCCTATATCTATAGAGTCTATAGACCTCAGTTCACAACCTTAGCAAGCAATGGGGATATAAATATATATGTCTGTGTATTTATATGTAATTATATATAGAGAGAGAGAAATTAATTGCAATGACAAAGTTTAAAGATAAGTGATGAAAATTGCCGGAGTGAACTATATATGTCTTTTTATTTATATATAGAGAGAGAAATTCTGATTTCTGTTCTGTTTTTGTTCTGTTTCTGTACCGATTTTTTGAGTTCTGAATCTGCTGTGAATTTATCATCCTTTTGAGCTACATTATCTTTTACATTGTAGGAATGTTATTATTATTATTATTATTTGTGTTTTGGCTATGTTCTTGCTATAGTTTACAACTATTATTGCTTAAGAAGTTAGTTTGAATTGTTTTTTTTACAATTTGGTAGAATCTTATCATTCTACGATTCCAATTCTACGGAGCCCAACATGATTCTACATAAAATCCCGATTTTAACAACCTTGATTATGAGTTGAAATATAAGCTTCGTCTGTTTTGAATGTCATGAAATCATGAATATGGTGTCTGACAAGATTCAATTATGACATTAGTAAAAATATACAAAAAAGTAGTATGACTGATTATTTAAGGCCCTTAATGATTAAGTGTACAAGATGACAGAACAGTGCATCAAACAAGTCCATGTTATGCTTTCAGGAGAAACTGATAATACACATGGTTCAGTGTTGTATTTGTTCACTTTTAATTGTTTGTTTTCTTGATATGGTGAAACTTGTTCTTGTATTTCAGTGGATATTGCTCTGCAGTGTCAAAGGTATTTTTGTATTTGTTATTTATATATATATATATATATATATATATATGTATATGTAACATTGTTGCCAGGGAATTGCCCCCCTGAATTTTTTTTTATAGTATTAATAGTACTAATTTCCTTATTTTGAATTACATACCTATTAAATTTTCATATTGCCCCCCTTGAAATTACAAACCCCCCCCCCCCCCCCCCCCCCCAAAAAAAAAAAAAAAAAAAAAAAACCCAATTTCCTGGGTTGGTTCCCGATTGTTTCTGCATGCAATTTGTGTGAAAGCGAAGCATATATGCCTTGCAGGTTAATGATGTTCCCCCCTAAATGTTTTATGCAGGAACAATGATTAGGCTGTTTAAAGTAAAGGAGAAGCAAAGAGAAGCTGAAAATGCCCATGGGAGGGTTCCCATCAAGAAGCAAAGTGCTGGGGAATTGCGTCTTCATAAAGGTTTTTATTCCATATTTTTTTCTGTGGCACATTTTTTATTTTGTTTATCTATGACAGGAACTATGCTTCTGTTATCCTATAATAGGTTTATTTTAGTTTTTGGTAGGTTTTTGTTGAGCATTGTTGGAAGGAAAAAAAAATGTAATTTGAGCTATATCGCAGGGAGGTCAATTGAAGGTTTTTATTTATTTATTTATTTTTTTTAATTATAAATAATAATAATAAACAGGGTTTATTTATTTTTTGAGTTCAGGAATAGATCAAATTGGTTTGGATTTGATCGGACAATGGTATGCCCGTTGGACTTTATACAATATAAATTGGCACTTTAACCATTGAACCATGGCCTACTTTTGGTTCTCCTGAATTTGATGCAATGGGACTCCAACGAATATAGTACATGCTTATGTCTTACCAACGAAGCCAATTCGAACTGGCTAAATGGGCTATTTAACATTTCATTCTATTTCACAACCAAGCTTATCAATAGTAAGGTAAAACCAAAAGTCAAGAAGCTATTAAGAACAAGCTTGAGCAAGAAAGTGCAAATTCCCATATTGCTTTGTTTTCTCGATCTCAATCAATCTAGCAACAACATCCTCTAACAGGATCCTTGTACATGGTGAATTATGAAATTTCAATTGAAATAAAATCCTTATTAGAAATCAAAGTAGTGCAGGTGGAATCAGTGAAAGGACTTTGTTTCAAATCCCTGATTTTAGATGGATTTTGAGATGTTAAGAATTATAACTATTTCATAGATTCATGGATCCAGTATAATTCAGTGAGATCTTTCTTTGACAATTTTTTTCCACCAAGATCGTTGTTATAGAACTCTTTGACCCCTGAATTGGAGTATCTTACTTTCAACAAGAAATTGATATTTTGCGACCAAGGGTATAGTACCTTTTTGTTGTAGCGGTCCTTATATATCATATGACCAATGGTAAGAAAGATAAAAAATGGTAAGCTGTATAGATCTTTGGTTAGTTTTAAACAATTCTTTCAGAACTCTTTCAGTTTCTAGTAGTTCAACACTTCAACTTATATTTACAAATCATATTGGTTTTATAAACTGATATGATTTGTTGAATCTTGGGTCATTTCTAGGGTTGTCTATAATGTCAACAGGACCTCCTGGTTCACAGTTCAGTTCTTTCTCTTGTTTTGGATAGTACGACAAAAGTATCATGATTTTCTAATTTAAAATGGATCCCAACTACTTTGGCTAGCAAGGCTACAACAATTCTTTTCATTATCGAGCTCTATCTAGAGCCATATTCTCTGTTAAATTGTAGGTTCTGTCTTTCTACTGCATGTCAGTCTTTTTTTAGCCTTTGTATTGTCTTCCTTGAATCATCAACTTGAGTTTGCTCCTCCTTATTTTCACACCATGTTCTTCCCTACACAAGGCCAAACCAGCTATATGACAACTTCCCCCCATTTTGACCATCATTGGTTCTATTATGATTCTCATCTTCTCTCTTACACATTCTTTTGTTCAAAACTTTTTTGTATTGCCACTTGTCATCTCAATATACTTTTTTAAACTTTACACCCAAATTATGGACATGTATGTCGGTTGCCTAACTTTTTAAGTTACAACCAGTTGGCTTTTGTTTCATTAAGTTCTTTTTAATTATAAGACTTTTGACCGATATAATTCGAATTTCAAGAACTAATATTTCTTTATTCACTGCCAAGATGAAGTATTATCATGCTTATGTTCCATTCTGTGCTGTGGAGCCTGGGAGACAAGTAGCATGCTGTAAAGGGTCCAGTTTGATTTTTGAATAATTTATGACTCTGATTTCTTGTTAATCTGCATATTTTGTTATTGCCCATGCTATACTCAAGTTGGACAAGTGACTTATACTATAGATTAGATATCCTGGAATATTTACTTATACTATAGATTAGATATCCTGGAATATTTACTTCAAGTCCACAATGGGACATGGGTATGGGTATGAGATAAATGTCCAACACATGTACGTTAAAGAAGTAAAATTTTGAATTTGATAGCAGAGAAGAGTTTTTTAATTTTGATATATATACATATATACCATTTCCTTTTTCTACCAGATTTAATTACATCAAAATCATAATGGAGTATATTCTTAAAAAAACAGCAGTACTAGGCATTACACTATTTTACACAAGATATAATTAGTTTGCATGTGTAGTACGCGTCCAAATACCCTAATTCAGCTTTTGGACACTTTTTCCCGTGTTCCAGGATTTGTGATTAGTAGAGGCCTGACATTTGGATAATATAGATGCACACCCGCACTTGATACCCTTACCAGAGTCCAAATGGGAGCTAGTAAGGCTGGTGCTGTGCACCTTTTATTTTGTATCAAGAAGACTTATTTTACAAAACGATTTGGTGTCTTGGACAGTTTCTCATGCTGCTCTTGTTTATTTTTTATGTTTCCTGCAGTTTTCTGATTGATGTAACCATTATCCTGCATTGGTTTAGCTTGTATTCAAATTAGGTTCTCAAGTACAAACATGTAGTTTCTTCCAGAAGTTTGATTATTTTCTCATATTGGAGGTTCTTATGCTTCATTTGACATTTTCGCATCTTGTAGACATCAGCGAGCTTAACCTACCAAAATCATGTACCATAAAATTCCCAAATGGCAAGGATGATTTAATGAACTTTGAGATCTCTATTCGACCTGATGAGGGATACTATGTGTAAGTAAAATTTAGACTTCATCTGTTTTTTATTTCTTTGGAATAACTAGCATGATGGTTACTATTTCATTTGTTTACATAATTTTTTCGGGTAAGCATTCCCTTTTTGTAGAAAAGAGATTTCCTATATCGAATTTTTGTTTAGCATTGAAAGCAATACTTAGTTGTATAACCTTTGTCTTCTCCCTACAGAAACGGCGTATTTTCGTTTTCCTTCCAAGTTTCCTCTATCTACCCACATGAGGCACCAAAGGTCAAGTGCAAGACCAAGGTAGAGCTCAGTTTGTATTATTTTTTGTTGGCCACCAGTATCTTTTTCAAAGATGATTGCTATTCATTTTGATTGGTGCTTAAGTTAATATTTGCATCCAAAACCCAGGTCTATCATCCTAATATTGACTTGGATGGGAACGTCTGCCTCAACATCCTACGAGAGGATTGGAAACCTGTCCTTAGCATAAACACTATTGTTTATGGACTGTATCATCTTTTCACGGTATAATTTGATTCATTGTAAGTAAATCTCTGTGAATTTTTAACTGTAGGATATCTGCACCTCATTATCATTATATATGTGTGCAGGAACCAAATTACGAGGATCCCCTCAATCATGAAGCAGCTGAAGTGCTTAGGGATAACCCAAAGATGTTTAGATCCAATGTAAGAACAGCTATGTCCGGTGGATATGTGGGGCAGACACTGTTTGCGCGAACCATGTAGCTTTTCTCAGCAGCATCAAGTGTAAATCAACGTACATCATCAATGCTAGAAGGCCCTGGTTTGTAAATCTTAATCGCAAAATAGCATCGACTTTCTGAAGTGGAATTGAGGCATTAATTCTGAGAATGCCATGGAACCAAGACCCCTAAAATTATTAGCTATAACTTTTATGACTTTAGTGGCAATGTTTGCTTTTCACTTCTGGTAATGCATAACAATATTTTCCAGATTTCTATGCATTTTTTTGTTACCCAACCTTCCCGCCCTTTCTTAATATTGGAGATTGGGGGTGTGTGTTTGGAGATCTAGAAAAGAAACTTTTCATTAGGTTATGCAAGGTATTTTGAACACACCTCTTTTGGCTTCTGTGGCATGCTTTTCTGGTAATGGTTAAACTATACAACAGCTATATCCATATGTTAATATCAGATTGTTCTTCAAGGGCCTTATTTAATCTCCAAAAGAATCAGTACCAAGTGTCGTAATAGTAAGGTTCTATTGTGATTTGTACATTCCAGCGAGCATGCGATGTTTTAGGTTTTATGTTTTTCGTTAATATCAAAACACTTTTGTTGTAGAGAAATCGGAACCATATTTGATAACCAAAATTTATTTCGTTAAATTGAAAATTTGCTTTAATTTCTTAGCTACAATGTTAAATTACACAATATTACTAATTTGGTGATTTAGGTTTGAGCTAAAAAAAAAAGAAAAAAAATCTGATATGTCATGAACTATTTACAAAATAATATTAGCCATTTTAAACATAATTTGGTTTAAATTTGGATATTAATATCAGAAAATAATATCCATAGTATTATTATATTTCTAGCGGACTTTCAAAATAATTTATTTTGTAAAAAATAAAAAATTATTATTTTTACAGTAATATTATTTTTATAGTCCCACTTACTACACGAGTGGGCCCGTCTCGCAATTACTTGTCCCATCCCGTCGTTTAGCTTTTTTGAGTGGGGATGTTTTGATGTAATAAAACTTCACCCGGATTTGGTGCCGGGGCGAAGGTGGTCGCCCTACACCGCCCTATTCCATTTAAATAGACAAATTATATAAGTACCATTATTTTATTAGTATATATCTTATATAACAATATTAAAGTAACAAATGAATTTGATTAGAAGGAAAGTTATAATGATATGATGAAGAATTGAAGACGAGGGAAAAAAAAAAAAGAACAAATTTATTTTAATAATAAATAAATTATAGTCTTAAATAAGATGGGACGGGTATCTACAGGAATAAAAATGTTAAAGAGAATGGAGCAAAAAGACTTTCTACTTTTGTGATTTTGGACAAGGACAGAATAAAATTGTTAAACGATTGCATAAATGAAAAAAAAGATACACTCGCCCAAACCGCTGCCATCCTTAATTGTGTTGGTTGATGGACAGCTAGCTGACCCATCTCCATCATGCTTGGCTGTTTCCCGCGCGTGCCTTGGCCACTGCTATTTGCGTCAACTACTACAGTATCATGACTGTTTGTTTATGTTTTACAGTACTACGTATGATACAATTTTAATTTATAAGGAATGTGATATTTATACTACGTAATTTATTTTATCTTTTAACGTACTCGATTTTTTGAATATTTAAAATAACTGAGTTTCTCATGTTTGAGCCGACTTGGGGCATTACTGTAAAAAAAAATTGACGGGACCACACTCATGCAACTCGGTTTAGCCGACACGTAGAATGTCCGAGTGTGTGTGGAGGCGACTGACACTGCAAAAAGTACTGTGCTGTTTAAAAAATGATGACTTCAGTGTGTCTTTGGGTCCCATCAATTTTTTGTCCATTTATGTACCTTTCAAAGTCATCAGACGGAACACAACACACCACGTGTGATTTAAAAACAGTAAAACTCATATAAATGTGTAATAATATATAATATAATTAAATTAAATCACTTAGTGGATACATAATTCATGACTATTTAATAATTTTTTGACAAAATCTTAATGACATGCATTAAGTGATAATGGATAAAGCAGTTCCATATTTATTCCATTAAAATGCTTATCAAAATTGGGGGAAAAAAAAAAAAACTAATTAATCAATGCCAAAAGACAAAATGTTCAATGAAAATCATACTAAGAAAGATGGAAACTTCTCAAATGTTGTCGTGCAAGTATCAGATACTTCAAGGACAATTTTAGACATGTGTTCAACATTTATGAATGTCTTCATAATTTAATTTTATATTTATTTAAATATCATAAGATTAATGTACCTTGAACACTCAAATCTAAAAGAAATTATTATATAGTTATTTCGCCTTTAAAAATAGTTGGTTTCGATGGAATTCGATGGACGTGTCATAAACTGCTGTACTTTCAAAGAAATATTTAAACAATATTTCAGAAGATTATAAGACCAAACGATTGTGAAGAGGTCTAAAATGAACAAATCTGGATTCTTTTTACCTTTGAAAAAAGACTTCGGGACTGCTATTTGGCTAGGAAGAAGTACCTTACTTTTGCAAGTAAATGATTTGAATGTACAATACTAAAATGTAAAGTAATAAAGTGTAGGACTTAGGCTAAACATATTGAAATTGCATTGTAATGAAAAGATAGATTGCATTGAAATGTTGTTGTAGTTGTGTGTGTTGAACAGGCCTTTTAAGAGAGAGGGAAAAAAAAAAAAAAAAAAAAAAAAAAAAAAAAAAAAAAAAAACAGGCTATCCGGTCACCTCATAACACTCATACCAGGTAGACAATATCATAACATTATTCGATTTAATTCATGTCTCATTAAAATACTTCATAAGACTACCATTCAAATGCTTCCTAACTATCATGGACTTCCAAATGAAGAACCTTATAAGTATTTGGATGAGTTTCTTGAAGTGTGTTTCCCCGTGAAATACACAGGCATGCAAGAGACACATTGTTTCCAATGGTCACACCAATCCCCAGCACCTAGAGAAGCATCAAAATAAAGCTATAAAATGGAAAGGAATAGCATAAAACACAATTCTTGTAGTCGGAGAAGAGACAGACAACGAGACTTCACATTGACGTCTATGGGCTAGATGTCAACCGGTTTGAAGAAACCAGTTGACATTTGGAATTTTACATCAACCGATTTGTGTTACAACATTATTTATAGAATTATGAAATGACAGTTTATAAAATAATTCCATTGTTGTAATATTCAAATCCTTCCAAGTGAATTGGATACATCTGCGCAATGTGTCGCATTATTCTCTTCAATTCTTCTGAAGCTTCCATGTATGAGCCATGTAATTGTACTTTTTGATATCATATTATTCAAAAAACTTGAGCCGTGTAATTGGTAATGGTTATATCGTAGCTTTTAGAAGAAACTTCCTATGCATGTTTTTAGGAACTTTAATCTCAATACTCCTCTACTTCTTCAAATCCCAATCCTAGTGTGGACTCCTTTTAATCTCACAAACCTTTTATAACAATTGCTACGTGTCTTCATTTAACTGGACTAATTACTTTTAATATAACCAACAACCACTTCAGATTGAAATTCCCTAATCAATCTTAACATGATACTTCAACAAAAATCTAATTAAAACTTATATTTATTGAAAGTGTTACATAGTAATTGAACGAAGATCATATAATAATTTTTTGAAATGTAAAATATAAAAAATAATAATAGTATAATAAAATAAAATAGTAACGAGGCTCATGATAGTAGGATCATGCTACCCCTAGTAGTCTAGTACCTTATCGGCGTCCCTACTTGAGATTGTTTGGATTGTGAAATCTCCAATCACAACTTTATGTCAATCATGGAGGCTTCCATATCGCAGCCCAACAAAAACAACAAACCATTGGTCAGTTTCCCACTGCGGTTCAACCCATTTTTTGTTTTCACACTACTGCTCTCCCTTTGATTTTAACTTTTGCGTAAAATATACTCCTTCCCTTATGAATTAAGTGTCTATTAGAAGTGACATTTAATTTAGGACCATTTTGAATTACAAATAACAAAAGTAATAGTTAATTCAAAGAAATATTTCTTATAAAGGATTATCTTTTTTAAATAAAATATATTTTTTAATTTTTAATGTTTGATAAAAATTTAAGTCGATATTGTGGTCGAATTTATAAAGTGAAACGTGTAAATAATTTATCAAAAAATTTTTTCTTCCTGTTTTACGACAAACAAATTCCAAAAATTTTAAAAATATTTTGCGCTCAAACAACTAAAGAAACCAGAAAAATCTTCACTTTTTAATAAAATACTTTTTCTTTCTTTTATTTTCTTAAAAAAAAAATTCATAATTTCAATCTTCCTATTTTATATTAAAATAATGGTGTTGATGTCATAAATTTTGAACGTGACAATTTTTCAATCATATTTTATTGTATTTTTTTTTAACAAACTATTCAACCGTTATTTTGAAATTACCATATTATCCCCCACTTGATAAATTCTTGAGTCAAGGAGGAAGAAGGGTCCAAGAGAGGCAAGCATTTGTTATACATTTCCAATAAAGAAAGTGTTGGAGAGAGAGAGGAGTCGCCGGAGGAAGAATGACGGCCGGCGGATCATCGGGGCGGTTGCCGACGTGGAAGGAGAGAGAGAACAACAAGAGGAGAGAGAGGAAGAGGAGAGCCATAGCCGCCAAGATATACGCAGGCCTCAGAGCTCAGGGAAACTTCAAGCTCCCCAAACACTGCGACAACAATGAGGTCTTGAAAGCCCTCTGTGTCGAAGCTGGTTGGGTCGTCCAAGAAGATGGAACCACCTATCGCAAGGTCTAATTCCTTCCCTTTCTTTCCCCAAATTTCTGCTCATCAATGCTCTCATTAACACACTAAATTTGTGTTTGTGTACTTGTGATTAATGGGTTTCTTCATATATGTTAAATCAGATCTATATTCATGCGTTTTACCCATTTATTTTCACTGTTTATAATGATTTCTATTGATCTTTGGTTTTTTTTTTGTATGTTCTTATTTATGTGTGAAATGTGTTGTTTTGATGTCGGAATTTGGTGAGCGTCTCATTCAATTCTCACTTTCTAAGCTGTTTTTTCTTGGAAAATTTCAATTAGTTTCACTTGGTTTCATGGATTTTAAAGTTCTCCTTTTTTCTTTTGGATTGCCTGTATTGTTTTCTCTCTGTTTGATTAAAATCCTATATGGGTTTTTTTTGGAAAAAAATGGGATCTTTGAGGTTTATGAAGGTGCTTTTTGCTCTACTATTGCTGATTTCTTAGGCAATTTTAGTATTATGTATTGAGGTGTTGTATTTTTTTTTTTTTTTTGGGTTCAAATTCATGGATTGTCCTAATTTTTCATTTCCATTAGAAGACATAAAGGAAAAAGGTACCATTTAATTCAACAGATTGTTGATGCATTTAGTCCCTTAATCCAACCTTGTGCTTGACTTTGTGTTGTGACCTCTAACAGGGATGCAACCCACCCCCAGCTGAGATTGCAGGGACTTCAACAAACATAAGTACTGCATGTTCATCACTCCAACCAAGCCCAACATCCTCCTCCTTCCCAAGTCCAGTACCTTCTTACCATGCCAGCCCCTCATCATCCTCCTTTCCGAGCCCCTCTCGTTTCGATGGAAACCCTTCATCCTACATTCTCCCTTTCCTCCAAAACTTAGCCTCCATTCCCACTTCTCTTCCGCCACTTCGTATATCCAACAGTGCACCGGTGACCCCGCCTCTTTCTTCCCCAACTTCGAGAGGCTCGAAGCCAAAACCTGATTGGGAATCGCTTTACAATGGTTCATTGCACTCATTCTGCCATCCCCTTTTCGCTGCCTCTGCCCCAGCGAGTCCCACCCGCCGCCACCATCTCGCACCTGCCACAATTCCGGAATGTGACGAGTCTGATGTCTCTGCTGTTGATTCGGATCAGTGGGTCAGTTTCCAGACGACGGCACCTCCAGCTGCCCCATCTTCCCCTACGTTTAATCTTGTAAACCCTTTGGCTAAGCAGAGTTCTATCCGGGATGCAGTTGAAGGGCATGGAGAATTGGGCTGGGGAGCTGCGGCAAAAAGGGGGCGTTGCTCTGAATTTGAGTTCGAGAGTGGCACGGTGAAGGCATGGGAGGGTGAGAGAATACATGAGATTGGGGTGGATGATTTGGAGCTCACACTTGGGAATGGAAAGGCCCGCGGTTAAGCTTCTTGTTATTCGTATGGGTCATGAAACGTAATAAGAAGTGCAAAGAGCTTTTATCATCTATTCGAATGAAGAGGTCACTCCATTATTAGGAGCCAATTGTGTGGTATTGCTCTAAGATTTCTGGGAGAGACGTTGATTTCAAATTTGATGCATCGTATAATCTTCTCTCATGGAGCCACTATTCAATTCAACTGGTGAAGATCAGGTTTGGGGCAGGCTGTGTAGGACTGTGATTCTCAATATTCATGCAGTGGAACGACAGAAGCAAATGATCACGAGGTTATGTTTAGAACTTTTTTCTTTAAATCCTTAACTGATAATGGGACCATGTTTAAATTGTTATTGCAATGGCCTCCCAATCTTCATATGCAGAGATTGTGTGATATATATTATTGAGGATTTTGTAGACAGTGTGAAGAAACACAAACTCAAACCCTCAAGTTAGTTGATGGTTATTAATAGGATCTATTTTCTGGCATGCAATTCCTTTACCTCTCATTTTTCCTCCTCGTGTTTACTGGCAATTGGCACAATAATTTTTTTTTTTTTTTCTTTCTGTGGCCCATTCATTATAGACCTGAACTTTGTTGACATTGATGAGTAATGATGTGTAGTCCGATAGTCGAAGTTGACAACTCTGACTGCTTTTATGTGGGTGGGGCTGATGTCAGCCCCACCATTGATATAATGATATCTTTGTGACGTCGGTCCTCACTCACATCAAACCACAGTCGGATTAGATATCATTTTGTTTTATTGATTGTTGCAGGTTCAACAATTTTGTGGCACTTTTTTTGTTGGTAGTAATGGAATTGTTTTGATAATCAAAGTTGATAGTGCTAGATTCTTGAAATGTTAAAACACCATGCTCCACCAGAGTGGTCTCATCTATTGAATGGTACAAACAGAAAAAGGGTGAAATAGGCAGTAAAAATATTCAAGAAAAAGTGATATGGACAAGAAGAAAAGAACAAGTATGAAAGGGAGGGCAAAAGTGAAGGAAAATTGAGATAGATGTGAAAGGGACTCTCTCTCTCTCTCATGCTTAGGCCATTTCTTGCTGTTTGAAGGTTATCCATATGTCACATTCTGCTTTATGCAATTTGTTGCCTTTTGGTCAAACTTAGGCATCTTAAGACAAAAACATAAAGTGGGCCCTTTTAATGTGATATGTATTTTTTATACCTTTGGTTTCACATTTCTTTACTGAGATACTTGGACAGATTAATCCTGAAATAAAATTTAAGAACAGAACCGTGCGAGTCTCATACCATATGATAGAGAAGTGCTAATTTTGATCTAGATCGAACAATATCATACTATCTGTGAGTTCTAACCTAAATTAAACAATATCATAATATTGTATGGAGAAATTGTGCAGGTCTTGACTTAAACCGGACAATATCATATCGTCTGCTGGAGTGGCGTTCGTAAATATGATTAGAAAATGCAGTGGAGTTGGGGAAAACCAAAGACTTGTATCTGGTGTTTGGATGCATGAACATTTGATTGGACAGTTAACATGTTGAATTATTTGGTTTATCACAGGAAACTCCTTTTTTTCATGTTTATTTGATTGCAATCAACATGAAACTTCACCGGCTCAACAACATGATTTATCAAAGCTTTTGAAGTATTTCACTCACTTCCATATAAAACTGCTAGTTTATTCAGTTTTTCCTTAGTCCGTCACTTTTTTTTTAGTCCATCACTTCGATTCTTTAATGCATGGTCTTCCACTAGCTTATAAAAAGGAGAAAAAAAGATGCTAGAGTTTCACCAAAGTGACACTTTGATTTGTGGGGGCTTAAGAATGTAGATTCAGTTTATGATAATCATTTTTTAATCATAATAAAGAAAGTGAATATAATTCCCAACAAGAATTGGAGTAGTATGTACTCATTTATGTGACTGAACAGTTATGAGATTGATCATGTGCAGACAAACCTAGAAAATTATAAATTATGTGAAGGGGTGAAAATATTTGACATGACACGTTAACACGATACGAGATAAAAGGGTTTGAGTTTAAGTTAATTGTGTTCGTGTCAGACACGGATTGACCCGTTAACTAAACGTGTTCGAACGTGTAGACACGATTATGACATGATTAACTAAATATATCAGATAAATATGTTGTGTTCGTGCAAAAAATATCCCATTTAACTAAACGTGTAGAATAAACATGTCGTATTCGTGTTATTTTTAGGCATGTCATCGTGTTACATGTGTAATAATAGTATCGTATTCGTAATCGTGTCGACACAACAATTTGAATTGCCCCTAATTATATATATATATATATATATATATATATATATATATAAAGCATCAGGGGAAATTTTTTTTTTTCAAAATATTCAAAATTCCTAGAGAATGACACGAAAGTGAAACAATCTTATTTTTGCATGGGAGGGGGTATTCAAAAAATTTCTTGACGAAACAATCATGGATAAATAATAATAAAAAATAAAATTATTGGGAATATATAACTAAAAGATTATCATCTTGAATTTTCACAAAGAACTCATATTGATTCGGAAAGTTGTCTTCTTTAATTTCCTTGAATTTACAAAAAATTATCGCGTCATCCATCAAAAACCACCCTTGAATTTGCACTACAAAAATTGTTTTCTTGAATAAATTTTCAGTGTCAATTGAATCTTTTTCATATATATATATATATATATATATTATAAAACTAACTCTTGATTTCAAAGATGAGACAAATATGAAAGAATAAAAAGGGAAAAAAAAAAACGAACCTTGATTGATTGTATAAGCGAAAAAGGCGCGAGATTAGGCTCGAGACAATGGAGGATGAAGAAGATGGCTTCAATGTCTGTGTGCGTAAAGAAGGAAGCCATCTTCATCGCCATCCATTGCTTCGGAGACTATATCTCTCTTTCCACAATTGCTTAAAATCACAGCACTGTTTGGTCACGTAGAAAAGGCATGCAAACACACACACACACACATACAATATATAGCAAGTTTTTTTATTCATTAGTATATCTTTAGGTTTGATCTTTTGGGCTGGTGGGCTTGGTTTGGTAATTTGAAGCCCAATGGTAGTATTTTCCCTACCCAAGTCCAACCTGATCCAGAGTCATATAATGTAAATCTAAATCTAAATCTTTTCAAGCATATATTATATGGAAAATCACCATTAAGCCTTTACTTTTGAAACCTGTTTTTTTCCACATAAGTTTTTAATATCTCAATATTTCATTTATACCATTGTAAAATTAAAACTATTTTTTAATAATTATATATAGGGGAGAGTCTGAAAAATACCATGTGATTTTCATTTTGTGCGAATTATACCATTTTAGTTAAATTTGTTTATATAGATTCATACTAGATATAAAAATGTGCAATTAAATACTTTCGGTGAGAATTCAGATGGAAATTCGAAGTCAATTGGTCATGTGCCATGCTCGTGACCATTTTAAACCTTTTATCTCAAAATTGTCCTTCTTATATTCATTTACTATCCCTCACTATATATATATTTGTATATATAACCTTAATCGCTCTCTCCCTCCCTCATCTCACCAGCAAATTCACTACTGTCAACCCTAATAATGGTCATACAGATATCAACGTAGAAGAGAATAGGTTGCAGAGAGCAATCCGATTCGATCTCACTGGGTTGCTCTCTCACGATTTCTTGATCTCATTTGTTTCTTCATTCAACGATTCCTAAATCATCAAAACAAGATCAAAAATCAAAACCCATCACTGTATCACTCAAATCAGAAGCAATGATGAAATGGGTATTGATTAAAAAGACATATTCAAAGCTTATGAGTGATTCCAAAATCATCAAATCAAGTTCAACAAACAAAATCAAAAGCATTGATGAAATGGGTATTGATTAAAAACACAGATTTAAAGCTTCTGAGAAAATTTTCAAAATCATCAAAACAAGATCAACAAACAAAACCCATCACTGTATCACTCAAATCAGAGGCAATGATGAAATGGGTACCGATTAAAAACACATATTCAGAGATGATGTATATACTCTGTACTCACCTTTTGGCTTTGTCCAACAATTTCTCCCCCTAAATCAAGAAATCACATTCCATCTCCAATCGCAACTTCTGCACCCTCTGGTTCCGGCGTTACGGCGACTCTTCTGTGGACTGTAACCGCACCAAAATCTAAAAAAGTTGGATATAAGATGGTATGAGGTGTGAATTTCCCAAGATGGATGTTGTCTCAACTTGAAGGGAGGTGATACTGATTGAGAGAACCAAAAGAAATGGAGACAAGTTTGAGAAACAACCATTACAATTGTTAGTTCGTCTTTACTTGAGAGTTATTTTAGTCTTTTTGTAACTCCGGTACAAGTCAATAGAGGTCAACGCCCAAAAGGTACTAATCAGCACCATTTTAAAAGTATACGGGAATAAACAAACAATAGGGGATTATACGCACTATATTGCAGGGGTGTAAAGTGCAAGCAAGCCTTATATATATAACATTGTTGGACACGTTTATTCATTAAACGTGGTGTGGCCTATATTCTTACACTATTCTAACCACTTCTACTAACACAACGTTATTAGGAAGTTACGACTACGTGGTTTTTGGGAAGTTACGGTGCTTTTATAATACCTGCCATTTTGAATCAAAATAAAAAAGAGGGCTTGTATGATGGATTACTTGCTTCTCGATTTTATTTTTTACAGAATTCTACAGAGGTCCCATGTCTAACAAGTATAGTCTGTGTTGTCTCCATCAAGTACACGCATAAGACTTGGATTTCCAAATTTGTTTTGCAGGCATTAACCAAACTGATTTCATGGTTGGAGGTAATGCGATCTCTTTGGACTTGAAAGTTTCTTTCATTTGGTACCAGAGCGATACCTTTTGGCTATGTTATCCTTTGGTTTGTATGTCTGTAATATTTGTTTAGCGACTGTGTTGCCGTTCTTTTTTTAGCCTGTAATATTTGTTTAGCGGCTATGTCGCCGTTGTCTTTTTGGCCTGTAATATTTCTTTTGTGTTCTATTTGTTCTGCATTATTTTTGGTGGGTGTGTTTGTGTCGGTAATATTTTTCTGGTACTGTTTTATCGTTTTTGTTATGTTGGCTGGAATGAAGTGGTAGAATACTACACCCATAAGGATTGCGATGAATAAAGTGTTCAGACCTGAGTGGTTTAACGACTGCTTTAAATATGAGAGAATGTCATTGTGAATTTATACAGTGGGAACAACGTTGGCTTTTTTGATGGTAAAAGTGATTCAGACCCGAGCGGTTTCACGACTGCTTTAAAAAAGGGTGAATCTTATCATAAAACCATAAAGATTTGTTTTAGAATGAATTTCTATTTATGCAGAATACTTTGGAGTTGTATAGTTTTGGAAATTTCTATATAAATGAAGAATACTCCAGAGTTGTACAGTTACTGCATATTAAAAAAATTCATGTCCAATATATTCTCATACACGCAGTTTATTAAAGTATGAG